ATATATATATAGGCTATTATATTTAATGAGTCTTCATTCAATCCTCTTGCCAAATCCTTCTTGATATAGGCTAGCTTCTCAAATTATTTACTCAGTATACAAACTGAATGGAGCTCTGGTGGCCTAGTGGCAAGAAGCTGTACTGAAATCCCGAAGGCACGCAGTTTGAGGCCACCAGCTGCTCCGCAGGAGAAGGATAGGCAATCTCCTCCCATGAGATTAAGCACCTCTGAAAACTCATCAGAGTCAGCTATGGGTCAGTTCCAACTTGACGGTACACAACAACAAACAACAATACAAACTGAATAAGTATAGCACTCACACACATTTTTCCTGATTTCAAACCATGCATTTTCCCTCTTGTTCTACTTGAATGATTACTTCTTGGTCTATATAGAGATTCAGCAGAGCACAATTAAGTATTCAGGAACTCCCATTCTTAGCAATGTCATTTTGCCTCTTATGGACTTATTTTTATTTTCTTCAGCTTCAATTTGAACTTTAACAAAATAGGAGTGTTGGTTTGTTCTACAGTCAGCTCTGGCCTCAATTTGCCTGCTGATACTGAGTTCTTCCAATGTCTCTTTCCACAGATATGTTGTTTTTACGTGCCACTGAGTCGACTATAACTCATAGCAACTCTATACACTAAAACTCTGAAACCTACTCTAGCCAATCTCACTGTCTCTGACACAGTTACCTTCATTATCCCAGTTATTGTGTCAATCCATCTCATCCTGGGTCTTCCTCTACTGTACTGTCCCTTGACCTTTCTTTCAAGCATGATATCCTTCTCCAAAGACTGGTCACTCCTGGAAACTTACACAAAGTATGTGAAATGGAGTCTCAAAATCCTCGCCTCCAAGGATATAGTAAATTATACTCCACGAGGTGCAGTTACTGTCTACAGTCACTTAAAAGTTTATGTCTTTTAAAAATATATATTTTCCATGACTAAAACACTAATTGTCTGAAGTTAAAAATTTTACCACATGAACTTCAGTTTCATTTCTATCACCAAGGCTTTATTTTCCAACTTTCAATCCTTTGTTAAGAATTATTCCATTCTACTCACTAATTACTATCAATGCATCTTGATTGCATGTTTGATCAATTTCAGATTGCAAACATTGGAAGAAAACCTGAATTACTTCACCTTTGACTTTAGTAATTGGTATATGTATTTGAAGAATAGTTGCACTAACAGTTTTTCCTTGTATGTATCCTGTCACTGACAGCACTGTACTTAAGGATAGATCCTGATACGTTTATTTGAATGATGAATGTGACACCATTCCTCTCCAATTTTCATTCCCAGTATTGTTGTTGTTGTTGTTGTTTGCCCTCACGTCAGAACTGATTTAAGCTGACCTTCCAGTAGGTTTCCAGAGGCAATAAATCACATGGAATAGTGAGTGATCATGAGGAATAAATAAGATGTAGCCACATGATTTACAAATTTAACTTGTCCTCTCCGATATAGTATACAATGGATTCAAAATAGCCAATCTGAGTCCATCTAACTCACTAAGGCCTATGATGTTTAGCTATATAGATTCCATTTCATTTTGACAACCAGTTTTCCTAGATTCATACTTGGTACATTCCATGTTACAATTATTAATGGATATTTTTAGTCTTTGTCACTTTTATTCTTGCCACATCAGCAAATGAAGGTTTTTAATAGGGTGGAAGCCTCAGTCCATCCATATCATTAAGGTAGACTCTACTCTGAATTGACAGACGAATGGTGAAATCAAGAAAATTACTAGCAATAAATAAGATGTAGCCACATGATTTACAAATTTAATAT